TTTTAATTATTTATGTATAAAACAATAACACTAAATCATAGAAACAAGGTATATGTAAGTTCTAGACGGGGGGGACAGATATTTCTACTAAAACGGTAATTATAAACTATAATTAGGGGAATACGCATCTTTCTACTAAAACCAAACCAAAAACCCAAAAAAAGGGGGATTAGAATATTTCCACTAAAACGGTAATAATAATAAACAAAAAATTGGAAAAAACGAATATTTCGATATAAACGGTATTAATTGTGAACTTAAATTAGGGACAAACGTATATTTTTACTAAAACGGGCTATCTACAACTAAAATTGGGGGCAAACGAATATCTCCACTAAAACGTTATTAATTTTATCTATAAATGGGAGGAAAACGAATATTTCCACTAAAACGGTATTATTTATAAACTAAAGTTAGAGGGTAATGAATATTTCTACTAAAACGGTATTAATTATAAACTATAATTAGGGGAATACGCATCTTTCTACTAAAACCAAATAAATGTTTGGGGAATAGAATATTTCCACTAAAACGGGAATAATTTTAAACAAAAAATTGGAAAAAACGAATATTTCCATATAAACGGTATTAATTATGAACTAAAATTAGGTACAAACGTAGTTTTTTACTAAAACGGGCTATTTACATACTAAAATTGGAGGCAAACGAATATCTCCACTAAAACGGTATTCATTTAATCAAAAATTAATTTAATTAATAAAACTAAAAGTAGGAAAACCAAATATTTTTCTACTGAAACAGTTAAAATGTATTATCGAAAATTACACTAACTACCACAACTCGGATAACATCACTAAACTAAATAAAACATCACTAAACTGAGTCTAACTAAAAAGGAACTGACAGGACATTATTACAACAGGCATCTTACACTGAATTGGACACTGGACAATATCCTATTCTGAACCTCACCTCTATATACTGGACATCTGTCCTAATATTATAATAACTCTAGCACTCTCTAGCACTTACGTAAAATATTTCTTCCCTCAAAAATATAACATCTTCCCTCAAAACTATAACGGCCCAACGTGTTCCAAACAAGTGGTGGAACTTTAATAGCTTCTACTGCGAAACAATTGAAAAATCAAAAGCAAAAGCAAAAGCAAAAAGCACCGCAAAACTACCCCGTCCAATACTGGGAAAGGGAAAGGGAGGAAAAGGAAAAAGGGTAAGGCTTTGCCGTTACCTCCCCGCACTGCAACATGGCGGTCAGCTTCAGACCTTCCTCCCGCAATTCAACAAGACATTTTGTCAACTTATGGTCACTATCAATTTTCAAAAATTTTGGACCCGCAAATTCGTGAACACATTGGGAAACTCAAACCCTCTAATTGAACTTTACTTTTGGCAAATTCTGTGGACAGGTGTCTTGTGGACGCCTATAACCTGATTAAACTTGTTTATGACGGTAGTAGGGCCCGTCCCAAGTACACCAGCCCGCTTAGGGAACATCTTGCCGCAGATTTACTTGCCGCAGATTTACCTGATGCCGCAGATTTCGCCCCCGCAAATTCTATTTTCAATTAAATTTATTTCATTTCTTCTTTTCATTCGCTTCTTTTTCAATCATTTTCCCTTTGTTTATTTCTTTCCATTCAATTCAAAAAACACAAAAACCAAAAAAATTTAAAAATACAAAATCCAAAAACAATTTAAAATACAAAATCCAAAAAAATTTAAAAATACAAAATCCAAAAAAATTATAAAAAGCAAAAAACCCAAAAAAGATTGTAAGATGTTAATTAAAACGTAGAACAACTACGTAAAGCCGCAGTACGCACGCTCTACAACCTTTTAACCGGTAATTTTTAACATAATTTGATAGAAATTTTCAAAGATTGAGATAATATTCACGATCTTATAATGTTATTCATCAAACTTATTGGTTTAATTATAATCATCATACTTATTAGTTGCAATTTAGTATTACTTGATGGTTTTTCTTTGATTCTTTGTTCGTGTTATAATGCTAATCATCAATCGGATTGGTAGAATTTTACATTATTTTGTTGCAGGCTAATCCGGATCTTCACTTCACTGTGGCTCACTTCTACCTCCTTCTTCTAATGAAAAATCAAAAAAATAAGAGGTAAATACTACCAGTTATTAATACTGTAGACATTTTGTGAATAGACACTGTTTACATGGGTCCCGTGTATCTCTGAACCAATATTCTAAAACTTAAAATTCGGTTTCAGATCATCATTCAACGCGTTCGATTGGACCCGTTCGATTGGACCCGGAAACGTCTCTCCTCTCATCCAGACTTTAATTGGTTGAGGTAACGCACTACGTTCTATTTTCCAATTACATTAGTAGTCAATATTACAGTATTACAGTAATTGAACATTTAAAAAAAGTGATATTGCGTTTAAACGTTTGCATCTTTAGTTAGTTACATAACAATTAAACAACTTTTCCTAAATATTTCAGGTCTAAATCGTGTCGACAATTTGAGGTGCCCGATCGTTTGTTCGTGTCTGGATTCGATAATCAGGATGGAGGATATTCGTTCTGGAAAGGAGAAAACATCAGATACAAGATGCATGCATGTGTGAATGAAGTGAATGAGACCCTTGGAATTTTTTTTCCTCATTTCTGAGGTTTTTTTTGTATACGTATGAGACCTTTGTGAAGTATGAGACCCGTGAACATTTTTTCCTCATTTCGGAATGAGGTTTTTTTTATATACGTATGAGAATGAGACCCTTGCGATAATCAATTTTTTTTCCTCATCATGTTGAGGTTTTTTTTGAAATACAAACATTTGTTTTAACTGTCAATCACGTCTTATTTTTTTACAAAGGTTTAGGATCGTGAATATTCTCACAATCCGGAGTAGTTTCACTAGAACTGAAGTATAATTTCGACTCAAAATACGTACAAGTTATAGTCGAAATACGATGGTTTGGAGGGGTTTAATTAAATTCGGCTCTTTTGATGACGCTGCCAAATTTTTATAGCCGTCGACTGGTTTATGTGGCAGCCACAGAGAATAGCCGAATATTAATTTCGACTGGTTAACAGACTTGGTCAAAATAAAACAGTTCGATTATTTATCAGAACACGTCATGACAAATAGAAGCATGTTGCTCGGCTTATCAATTATAAAGATCGATTTGCTCATGCCAAACCATTATTATTTCAAATGAAAATTCTTAATATTTATCAGCTAAATATTTTTAATATACTTTGTTTTATGTTCAAGTGTAAAACCAACGAATCTCCAGTTTCTTTTCATAATCTATATACCTTAAAAGATAAAAATAAATATAACTTAAGAAATGATAATCAAATTCAGCAACCTTTATCTTTAACTAATTTTGGAAAGTCATGTATTTCATATCGAGGAGCTTTTCTATGGAACAAAATAGTTTTAAAAAATTTTGATTTTTCTCATGAATGGAATTATCTTTCATTCAAGAAAAAACTAAAAGAAATTGTTTTGTCTTTTGAAGACATTTTTTTATATTTTTAAATTCTTTTAAAAATGAATATGAAGTTTATTACATAAGGTAATATATAAATATTATATCTGATCCATAACTTATATGTTTGTGAAAACAGTACTTTTTAAAATATTTTTGTATTTATATATAAGAGTATGAACAATTTCTTTATTCCAATTTTATTTATATATTATTACGAAATTTACGTTCTCGCTAATTTTTAATACGACATTGTGTAGATTTTATACTTCATGTTAATTTAATGTACTTAATACTCACGAGCGGTTCTCGATGATAAGACCTGAAGGTCTTCTGCGAGTCTCCGCGTTCTTTCTTTTTTTGTATATATTTTCTTTTATTGTATAACGATTTTTATCTCAACTATCTCATTGTATAATTATATTGAATATTCAAGAAAAGAACAAAAAAAAAAAAAAAAAAAAAAAAAAGTCGAATTTCATTTTTCGACGATTTATAAATGTTTGTCCAAATAAATTCGGTTAGAAATGATTTATGACAATACACAAATTCGACTGGTTATCGGAACAGGTTTTATTTCGATTATTTGACTGTATTTGACAAAATTCTCAATTCGGGTAGTTGTCAAACCTCGTCATAGTTCGTTTAAAAACAAAATACGTCATTCGACTATATCACGGACTACGTCAAAATCGTGTTTTTCGTCGACTGTTTGTAGAACGTGCCAAAATCTTATTTTTTTTCGACTATAATACGGAATTTGTTCATTCGGCTATAAATCGGATTTTGTTTTTCGGTTATTTGTCTGTTTTCCGATTTACTGCAATTATCTTTATGATGCACATAATTTATTAAATAAATTTACATAAATTATATTTAATAACCTGACTGATTTCTTTTCTTGGTAAGTTTGGGAAGTCAGACGAGAAAACTGCGTTTTTTGCGCTTATGCTGTTTCGCTATCTACCCCAAGGAACTTTAATAAACGTAATAAAAATAAAAATTTAATAAAGCTCCTTGATCTATCGAAACAAATCCTACAACTTTTCTTTGATGTGAGTAGTTTTAGAGATTTTTATTTTTTAACCTTTCTAAAAAATCAAAACTTAGTTCAAATTAAGTTTTCAGTGGCATTATAATATAAAATAAGAAGCTTTTAAGTAGAAATTAAATTAAATTTCTTTTTATTAGTACATTTTTATTTAATATTTTAAAAAAGCAATAAGGCACCACCTTCATTAAAAATTTGTGTATACACAGACGCAGAGGTATGCATAGCAAAGTGTACATAAAAAGTGGAGTGCACATGCAGCGGAGTGTAAATAAAAAGATCATACATAAATCGATTTACATGCATGCAAAACTTGATCTACAGATCGAGTATACATAAATCAAGTGCTCCTACATGTAGGAACACTCGGTGTGTACATCTGATGTATGCACATTCGATTTGTGCAGTCAGTCAATTTATGCACACTCTGCAGAGTGTGCATAAATCGACAGCAGGCTGTAAATACTAATTTTTTAATTTAATAAATTAAATTGATGTTTCATTAACTTAGCGTTTAATTCTCAAAACCAATTTTTTTTTTACTTCATAAAAATGATAGTGAAAAGTTTGAACATCATAATTTTTCTCAAATAAAATACTTTTAACTAAACTTCTTCGTCTGACTCTTCGAATTGTATTGGTGGGTGACTAGGGTGTAGAGGACAGCTTTTGTTTTTCTTATTGTGGCCAGGTATTTTACACACAGAACAAATTATCTCTTTTATCTTTGGCATAACAGAATCTGTTAGAATAAATTGTTGTAAGCGCATTAACCTAATTATAGTTTCGAATCTTGTTCTGTCTAAATTCGTTTCGTTAATCTTTGAAAACTTAATTCGTTTATTTAAATGTTTACTTGCGTTACAATTAAACATTCCATAACCCCATCCAAATCTAGCGTAGAATGCCATAAGCTTTCCAACATGACTTCTTAAGTAATGTAAGTATGGCATGCCTTCAGTACAATCAGATCCAGCATACGTGATAAACTTTTGAAAATACTCTTCACACCTTTTATTGAAAGTACCTGAAAACTCAGGAGATGTTGATCTGACATCGCTAAAAATAGTAAGTAACATTTAGCTATAATAATCCTTAGGAAATGATCAAAATACTTTTCATATAAATACAAAATACTTTTCATATAAATACAAAATACTTTTCATATAAATAAAGTAAATTTCATATAAATATTTATTGATTGTGCTATGTTTTATATAAAATAAGGTAATGATAATTTGTAACATTGAAATAGAAAAACTTAAATAAAACAATAGGAAATACTTTGCAAGACTAGCAAATCTCTTGTAGAGGTCGAGTATTTGTCGCAACTTTAAGGCACTTTGATCAAGCTAATTTTCTCCGTCGACAAGAAAACTATTTAAAAAAGTATCAATGTTTAATTCCAATAACTTACAATCATTCCCAATGATTTTTAAAGTTTCAGAACCATCATAATTCTTCTTTTTGCTGAAAAAAAAAAATTATAAAGATTAACTTGAAAACCTATATTATTCTTACATACACAGGGCCGTGGCCAGGCTCCCCCACAACAATTGGGGAGGTCCTTTTTCAAAATATGGAGAGCCCTTCATCAAATTTTATTTTTTCATCCTTTGAAAATTTTGAAAAAATTCTTATTTCAAAATTTCGGGACCCTAATGACAGGTTTTTAGAGCCCTTGACCCCATAGCCACGGAACTGTACATACAACGTTAAAGACATAAAAAACATTTATTACATGATTTATTTCCTACATAAAAACTGTAGCAATAACAGATAAAAATATATATATTAGATATAAATTAGAAAAATAGAATGAAAAGAAAGAATTCCAAAGCAAACAAAAAAACATATATGTAAAATAACAGCTTTTTTATCAAAGTTGAACAGCAAATGTAAAAAGATGGATCAAAGTATGGCATAATAAAACATAATATATGTGTAAATTTTTATATGAGTTTATATCATACCAATTATATGTATGAATTAGACAAACCTGACACAGATATATTAATTCATAATATTTTAAACTGGAAGTAGTCTAAAACGCTGAAAAAAATTTACACTGCTGTTTAATGTCAATTTTTGTTGTTCCAAAAAATGGACGACTCTATATAAAATTGAATAATGGCTTTTAAATAATAATAACACATTGGCATATATTTCATAATATTAATTGTAAATTTTAATTACCTTTTAAAATATTGCTCAATTTGATAAGCCAAATAAGTACAACCAATATTTCGAAACGCTTTGCCAATTCTACTATCCATATTTCTTTTATTTATGACATTATACATAAACTTGTACATCTACCGGTGGTGGGCTAATATGAGATGTAAACCACATGGAGGCATTAAGTCAATAACAAAAACCTTGAACAAGGGTTGTTATTGACTTAATGCCAATGTTGTCTAAAAAAGTTAAAAAAAAATTGTAAATCTAACTAGTATTTAATAATTTATTTAAAGTAAACATAAAAAACAGTGGCAAACTTTGATAAAGTTAAAAGCACAAAATATCTCATAACTCAAAAATAACATGGTCACATATAGCTATCTGTTACAATAAAAAATTGGTAATTAAAATACACCTAAAAATTTGAGAAAAAAATATTGATTCTTTAACTTATTTTTTTAATAATTAATAATCTATATTATTATTTATATTTATTAATATTAAATAATTATTTTTACCCATTGGCCGTAATTTGCAAGCTGCGTTTTTTTAAACAGTGCAGAATTGTGGTCAGGTGTTTCACCCAGGACAGACTCCACTTTTTCACCTAACTCTGCCATTACCGCAATACCACGCTTTTCTCCAGATTTCTTAATTTTTAAAGACCATTTTTCATTCATTAATACACAATGGTAACATCCATAAGTTGATGTACAAGAACATAGACCAATTATGTTCTTTAAGAAACCTAAATCGGCCAAAAAAAAACAAAGTACATTGAAGTGTTCAACTGAATTATCTGGATTTACTAAATTAATACCATTTATGATAAGGTCAGTAAGATCTTGATAATGACACTTAACATGAGTATCAAGCATAACTTTGGATTTACTGCCTCTACACAGTGTTGTTATAAACTGTCCATAAGGAGAATTAATCAATGTTTTTAAATTTAAGAGTGAAAACGATGTCTGTTCTATTGGAAATCTAGATGCAGCCCAGAAATTATCACCAGTGTCTTTTATAAAGAGAGTGTGTTTTGTTGAATCAATAGAATTGTACAATGTTGAATTAACTTGCTAAATATGCAAACAAATCTGCTTGCTTTTCAATACTAAGAAATTCCATTTCATGCAGTAACTTTTAACATGAAATAATATATTGTAAAGTTTCTGCAAGATTGTTCCCATACATTTACAAGCGTTTTCATTGTCCTTATAAATTTTTGATATTTTACCTACTTCTGCAGTTAAACAGTATTCTCTTACATTTGTATAAGTTGGTAAATCTATTATATTTTTGGATATAACAGCTCTTAGACTTTTATAGCCACGTTGCAATAAATTACATTTACCAAGTAAAAGTTTAGCTGTTTGGGAACAATTTATCTCAATTCGTTTGTCAATTTTAGTGATAGTGTCAGTAATAATAAAAGGATTTTTCTTGTACAAATGTTGAATATAACCTATAAAATGCAATATATATATATATATATATATATATATATATATATATATATATATATATATATATATATATATATATATATATATATATATATAAAATTATTCCATATAAAAATAAAGTTAAATAAATACTTTTAGATTTAGATAAAGTTAAAAAATCAAGTTAGTAAAAAAGACTGCTAAATGCCAAAATCTATAAATTTTTAAATCTTACTTTTTACATCTCCAAATGATATATACTCGACCATTCATGTATAGCTTCATTACATGCATGAATTGATTTAGAGTTTAATAAACAACTAGTCTCTCCTGCATTTCGACTTTGAATAGTTAACGCACATCGTAAAGGAATGTGGTCTTCAGATTCAACTTTTTTGAACACTTTTTTAGCTGAACACATTTTATGTTTTGAAGATGTCTCAACATTGATAGGATTAGCAGATATTATTTTTAAAACTTCTGGTTTCATAAAACCAAAAAACTCAAAACCAGACCACTTTTTATAACTCTCAATCCCTAAAAAGTTTAACATTTGCTTTACACAAACAGTTGCTTTTACATTTGAAAAGCTTGCTAATGGTAATTCTAAATACTTTAAATATTGGAATATGATTCTCAGATTCCACTTTACAGTGGATTTCAATTTCATCAAAATTTGCAGTTTTTGCGATTCTTATTGATTCATAGCCACAATGGAAATTAAATGAACCACTACCAAGTTAGGAAAAGTAGAGCTTACAGAATAGTCTTTATCTATTACTTTATAATTTTTATTTACTGCTTGATTTGTATTATTATTAGTAGTAGCATTCATCAAATTAATTACTTCCTTCCTATCAAATCCAAAGAAAGTATTGCCACTTTTTATCGAAACATCAACATTGGCTATTTTCAATATCTTTTTTGCTGCAGTTGTTGGATTCATTGAGCAAGACATTCTTATCTTCACCATTTTTCAAAATACATTCAAATATTGGATGTCCATTTTCAGATTCTAAAACATTACAATAACAATCAAATTGATTACGTTCAGTTATAATTGTCCGGCGAGCACTATACCCTTTATTGCATTAAAAAGATCCTGAATAAAACTGTTCAACTGCTAATCCAATATTTATTACACCATCCCATAATACCTTTTTCATCTAAACAATAAGTAATATATATATATATATATATATAATATATATATATATATATATATATATATATATGTATATATATATATATATATATATATATATATATATATGT